GAGGATGATGATGATGATGATGATGATGATGATGATGATGATGACGATGGTGATGACGATTATGATGATGATGATGATGCTGATGCTGATGCTAATCATGATGAGAATGATGGTCATCGTGGTGTTGATGATGATGATGATGATGTTGGTGATGACGATGAGCATGAGGATGATGATGCTGATGCTGATGCGGATGCTGATGATGATGAGGAGGATGGTGATCGAGACGGTGATGGTGACGGTGATCATGATGATGAGGATGATGGTGATGGAGATTGTTACGATGACGGTGATCATGATGATGAGCATGAGGATGAGGATGAGGATGATGGTGTTGATTTTGATGATGGTGTGGCTGATGCGGGTGGAGATGAAGATGGATATGGTGATGCGGCCTTTGCGGCGGATGACGACGAGGATGATGACGATGATGATGATGTTGATGATGATGAGGATGGTGATGATGGTGATGATAATGGTGATGATGATGTATATGATGATGATGAGGAAGAGGAGGAGGAGCAGGTTCATGTCGATGCTGCCGCTGCTGATGATGGTGATGATGAAGAATTTGATGATACTGCTGATGATTATTTTGATGCTGCTGCTGCTGATGATCATGTTGCTGTTGTTCTAGTGATGATGATGATGATGATGAAGATGATGATGAGGATGATGGTGATGGTGATGGTGATGGTGATGGTGATGGTGATGGTGATGGTGATGGTGACGGTGATGATGATGATGCTGATGATGATGATGATGATGATGATGATGATGATGATGATGATGATGATGATGATGATGATGATGATGGAGACGAAGAATATGATGATGGTGGTGGTGGTGGTTTTTCCATGTGGGATGTGTCGTAGCACCAGAGGCCCTCTATTCGAGGGAGGGTGTGCCCGAGCCGAGATTTACAATTTTCCAGCTGTAGCTGCTTTAGGGGGAGCCTTCTTTCTCGGTTGGGCCCCCAGGCAGAAATTCGGGGCGTCCCAGATGAAAAATCACCCCGGAACCGTTCCAGCATGTTATCCCCTTTGGGCTCCCCCAGTGGACCAGGCGCTTTCGGGGATAATTGGACGGGTGTTGCACCCGTTCCCTCAAACCAGTCATATTCCACATCGAATCTCACAGCGTGTGCCCTTCCAGCAGTGTGTACATGGGCTCCACCCGAAGAGACGGTTCGGTGGACCTGGACGAGCGTATCTCTCTAATGTGTGACTCGCTGTTCTGTGAGGTTTGTCGATCCCTGGAGGTGTCCCGCTCCAGGTCAGCACTGGTGATCTAAGGTAATGCTGCCAATGGCGAGCGAGAGAGAGAGAGAGAGATAGAACACTGAGGCAGGGAGGAGGAGAAGGAGGAAGAGGAGGACGAGGAGGAAAAGGATGCTGAAGAAAGAGGAACACAATATCACATAATAATCGTAACAATAAGAAGAAGACGGGTAATAAAACATAGCGTACTAGTGTTAGTACCAATCATACGAATATGAATGCGAGTAGTACGAAAATGTGAACACTAGTACTACACCGAATAAGAAAGCACAGTAGTACAAATCCGAACATTTCGAATATCATTACGAATGCTACGACAAAAAATTTTTACAGACACATACATCTAATATTACGAATTATACTGCTACTTCTGATCCTACTACGGGTAATCTTAATATTATGAATAATTAATACGGCCCATTCCCGGCTAGTTCCCACTAGCCCCAGCCTTCGGAGTGACGGCCCATGCGGCGCAGGGGCAGACGTTCAAACAGGGTGTCATAGTGGACCTGAGCATCGGCGGAGGCACGTCACCTCTGTCGAGCTACGTGGCACTGACGCGGGTGCAGCGCCGCGAGGACATGCTGATCTTTCGCCCTTTCGACATTGCGCCGTATCAGAAGAAGGACGAACGGAAGGGCCCGGACTTGCTGCTGCGCGCGTTGCGCGGAGAAGACTTGGACTGGGAGGCGATAGAAAAGGAGTTCATGCTGTCCGGCAGGTGCGCGGTCTGCGGGTGCACGAAGTACAAGAATATGTGCCCAACGGTCGGGCAGTGGAACCGCGCAGACGGGCTCCGCGTGTGCACCGTGTGCCTGGAAGATAAGAAGAGGGCGGGCACGCCGTGGCAATGCATGGAGTGTGGGCTGTGGAAGTGCCAGGAGGCTTTCCACGCGTCACAGCACCACGCGTCGAAGTTGACGACGCGGCGCTGCGTGGACTGTCCCGAGAGACGGAGTTGCCGCGTGTGCGAGGTTCGAAAGTACGAAGAAGCGTTCGCCCAGTATCAGTGGGAGCTGGCAGGGAACAGCCGGTGTAGAGGGGGGATGTGCTTAGATTGCGAGGAGCTGAAGAAGCACCTGAAGTGTTCCCGCGGAACAGGTCTGCGACGAACCCACATGCAAAGCTTGTAAGAAGTTGCAGAGGGAGGAGGAGAAGGTCCGCGCCGAAGAAGCAAAACGGGTTGCATGCTCGAAATGTGGGGAGTCTAAGAGGAAGGCCGAGTTTTCAGATCACAAGCTGACCCACGCTTCGAAAGCGTCGATTCTTTGTTCCAGTTGCGTCGATGCTGCAGCTGCAGAGCGGGACAGGGCGTCGCGGAAAGACGTGAGGTTCTGCGTTGGGTGCCATGTGGCGCAGGGACGCGATTGTTTTTCGAATCGAATGTGGGAGAAAAGGGGCTGCTCACAACCGCAAGTGCACGCGCTGCGTCGAGGCGTCAGCTGTGAGCTTGAAGATTTGCGCTGTGTGCGAAGTGGCGCAGGGGCGTGATTCTTTCGCGGACCGCATGTGGACAAGCGTAGCTGATCGAGATCGCAGACGCAAGCGTTGCGTCGAGGGAGACAAGATACAGCGGGGATGTTGGAAATGCATTGGCTGCAAGGGCGCGATGCCGAAGGTGGAATTCAGCCGTTGGCTGGCTGGGCGGAATTCGAAGAAACCAAATAATAAGCAAAGATGCAACAAGTGCTTCGTGCATGAAGAGCGGAGGAGGAAGGAATTCGCTGAGAGGAGTTTGGAGTCGGTGACGAAGAAACAGAAGTCCAGGTAGCCGGCGCGCGTGGAGTGGGGAAAGGCGCAGGCTCTGGCGGCTTATGCCTATGGGCTCTTAGGAGGTGGAAAAGACAAGTGGAAGTGCCGTGGTTGGGGGTCCCAAGAACTGAGCTGCCGTTGGGTGGGGAGTCCCCAGAACAGAGCTGCCGTGGATGCAGGTGTCGGGACGTGGTGAGAGCGTGGGAGGGGCGTCGGTGGGTTCCGGGCGAGAAATTGCAGGTTGGGGTGTCCCAAGAACAGAGCTGCCGTGGATGCAGTTTACGGGACGTGGCGAGAGCGTGGGGGGGAGCGTCGGTGGGTTCCGGGCGAGAAATTGCGGGTTGGGGGGTCCCAAGAACGGAGCTGCCGTGGATGGGGGTGTCGGGGCGTGGTGGGGGCGTTGTGTGGGGGGGGGCGTTAATGGGTTCCGGGCGAGAAATTGCGGGATGGGAGGTCCCAAGAACGGAGCTGCCGTGGATGG